ACTGTATGAACCAAAAATTATCACATCAAAAACAAAGAACCAATCATACGATATGTATGGAAATACCTTATTATGGAATCTTAATTTATTTTTCTGTATCATGTGAATAATTCATACCTGGTGAGATGAAATTATAATAGTATTTGGATTAAATGATCAGGAATTTTGGTGCTCTCTGATTGGTATAGACACCATTTCCTGAGACGTACCTCGATCAGAGTGACTTCACCTCATATGTCTACATTCTGGGGGGCGGGGGGGTTATTCGGGTTTTCCTCTTGATCAACCATAGATGTGTTTACAGTTTTTTGACTAATCAGATTGCGTGTTTTTAAGGTTTCGTCAAAGGTCAACATGTCCAAAAATTATTTTTACAATAGCCCCAAAACTATGTAAGGTATAAAGTTAAAACTTTTACAGTTTATAAATTTTTGATTGATTAACAGATAGAAAGTATCCCTTGATTAAAAAAAATACTTGGAATAATATCAATGAGAAAAATCCTTCTTAAAATGCATATATTTTCAAAAAAATACACCCAATTAATTCCGTGCTTTTAGTGAAAACCATCATTGCAGAAACAAAATATGTTTATCAATGAAGGGCAAGTTGGACTTGGATAGCCTCTGGAAAGTTGTTTTCCATGTTTATTTTGTCCAAATGTTTAGACTTGAAAGTGAAAGTACACTGCAAATGGCGGATTCTAAAGGGGTCTTGTCTTTATACATGTCATGCTTTCAATAACAGCCTTTCAGAGACCATTCACGTCCAACTCGCCCTTCAATGACAAACATATATTATTTCTACAATGTTTGTTTTCACAACAAGGACGGAATTAAGCAGGTGCATTTTTTTTAAATATGCACATTTTCTGATACAATTTTTCTCAAAAAATACCTTTTTAAAAATATTTGTTATCAAGTAATACTTTCTATCTATTAATCAGTGATATATTTAAAAACTGTAAACGTTTTGACTTTATACCACACATAGTTTTGGAGCAATTGTAAAAATAATTTTTTAGACAAGTTGACCTTTGACGAAACCTTAAGCATGTGTTGGTGTGAATGTAAACATGTCAGACGCCAGTACCAAGGAGATTAAACACTTTTGATAATAAAATAAAATGGTTGAGTATTGATTGTTTAATAATATTGTTTTCCATTTTTAACTAGTAGTTGTTATATAATAAGCTATTGAAGTATAACAACATGTGAAAGTTTTGTTACACTTTGCATTTTATTATGAGTGTTTTTATTTGATGTAGACAAGAACGAAAATGTCAAAAGTATGGTAAAATTCCTGATCATTTAATAAAACGGTTATTGACTTCGGCCTTGGTCAACCAATACCTGACCAGGTCTGTATAGTCACGAGTAGACCTCATCAAAATTCAATAATTGTATAATATGACATATTACGTCAAATATGAAAGCCCTATCATATGTCATTGAAGAGTTAATTCAATGTAGCACCATTTTTTTAAATTAGGTCAAACATGAAGGTAAATATCAAGGGGTCAGAAATCATAGCATGTTCATAAATATAATGCCACAGTTAATGCACATGTATAATATGAAATCCCTATCTCTTTTAAATCAAAAGTACCATGGAAGACTGATTATTTTTGAAAAGTAGGTCATACTTCAAGGTCAAGGTATCATGGACAAAATTAAATACATACATGTACTAGTTCATTAAGAAAGGAATTGCCACAGGTAATGCATGTATAATCTGAACATTTCGAAAGCCCTATCTCATCTCATTCAAAAGTTTTGACCAAGGTTTTAAGTTTTTGTGACAGATGAACTGCTAGACCAACAGACTTACAGATGACAGATGAATATTAAGATACAATTAATAAACTCTTTGTATTCGCTAAAGTGGAGGACAACAATCAAGAGAACCATACACTAAAAGGGATTGACTGACCTTGACATGATGATGCAATGCTTTCTATAAAAATTTAGGTCTTTTTTAATTAATTAACAATAATTTATATTTAGAAAGTCTAATTAAATTCATAAGAAAAAAAAAAATTAAGTCTGACATGCATGTAGATTTATTTCAATGAAAAAAAGCGATATTGATCAATATCGCCTGACTGCACCATGCAGGATGAAAATTCAATTTTCTTATAAGGTCATACCCAACATATTTTGTTTTGTTATATAGTTTGAACTTTATTAGGTTCTTCCCTGGAGTTTAAGAGTGAGTCTACACAAAAATGACTTTCATATATAAATGTAAAATAAAATATAAATTCTAATATTAATTATAATGAACATAATTTATGTAAAACCTTAATTGATTTGTTATCCAATGTAGTTTTAATAGTCGAGCCGGTGGATGTGATCAATCATCATGGTGATAAATTTCAAAAACTTACTAGTAGTAAATAAAGTATTGTAGTATATCTATGAATGCTTTTATAAAAATGCTGTCTTATTTCATCATGTTCATTGTACCTGTTTTTTGTTTGTTTGTTTTTTTTTTGTTGCTGATATTAGAAACATACAGATGCAATTAAATTCCATTCTTATTATTATTCTAATTCATTCTAATGATTATTGCAAATTTATTTCAAACATTTAGGTAATTTTTCTTTGTGTGATATAGAGTGATGGATCAAAGGCATGTATATTTTACCGATAAATATTTTGATAATTGTGGTGGATTCAAGGGACGTGGACAGATATATTTTTAGATTTTGGTAATGTGTCAAAGGAATCAATAATGATCATGTGATGATTATGGTTAATTGATTTAAAACATTTAATTTATATTTTATATGTGATCAAAATCTAAACTTATAAGTGGTGGATCCAAGGGGGGGATATTAATCTTTTAAAATATTTGTGGTGGATGCAGGATCAAAGAATATTAATGATCAATGATTATGGTTAATTTATTTCAGACATTTAGCTTATATGTCATGTGTGATCATGATCTTAAATTTAAAGTGGTGGGTCCAAGGGGGGAGTGGATATTAATTAATGTTATATAATAGTAACTGTTGTGGTTGATCCAAGGGGAGCTTCGAGTGGATATTACTTTTAAATATTTGTGGTGGGTAAAAGAATATTAATGATTATGGCTAATTGATTTCAAACATTAAGCTTTTATGTCATGTGTGATCGAGATCTAAACTTATAAGTGGTGGATCTATGGGGAGTGGATATTAATTTTATTTTGTTTAAATAGTTGTTGTGGATCAAAGGATATACTGTAAATCATTATGGCTAATTAATTTCAACATTAAGCTTATATGTCATATGTGATCAAAATATAAACTTATAAGTGGTGGATCCATGGGGAGTGAATATTAATGATTATAGCTCATATTGAGTTCAAACATTAGTCTCATAATTGTCATGTGTGATCGAGATCTAAACTTGTAAGTGGTGGATCCATGGGGAGAGTATATTAATTTTATTTTGTTTAAGTTTTTGTTGTGGATCAAAGGATATAAATGATTATGGGTAATTGATTTCAACATTAAGCTTACATATTATGTGTGATCAAGATCTAAAGTTATAAGTGGCGGATCCATGGGGAGTGGATATTTATTTTATTTTGTTTGAATTGTGGTGGATCAATTAAGGATATTAATAATCGAGTTTAAACATTAAGCTCATATGTCATGTGTGACAAAGATCTAAACTTGTAAGTGGTGGATCAATGGGGAGAATTTTAAACCCTACTGGGTTTTTGTGTTTTTTTTCATGGGGTAATTTTATGTATATGTTTCCCCATGGGGTTTTTATTTTCGACACTAAATATCTCAAACACTAGCAGAAAATGTTGCATTTTTTTTTTCAGAAATTCATTTAGGTAGAAAAATCCCACCATTTAAAAAAATTCCTAGAGGATAGCTTCAAAGGAAAAGGGTGCACAAGTTCGGAAAAATGTCCATTCCGAAGTTGTCTGTCCCACTGTTCAATATTCATCTGTAATTTTTTTTTCAAAGTGATTCTTTCTTTGGACTATGTTGACACAATATAAGGTATATTGCTGATTTTGAGCTGTAGCTAAATGCAGTTGAATCAAATTCATATAGGAGAAGAAGAAATCCTATAGGAATTTAAAATTTCCTACAAGATATTTTTCTCCCTTAGGAGCAAGTAAATAATTCAAAAGTGAAAAAATTTCCTACAGGAGTTTCTGACTAAAAAAGAGAATCCTACAGGAATTTAAGAAATCCTATGGGATATATTTTTCCCAGGGGATTTTTTCTCTCTCCTATAGGAAATTGTATTCCTACAGGAGATTAAATTCTCCCATAGTAGTTTAATTTCCTGTAGGATTTCTTAAATATCCCACAGGAAATTAAGAAATCCTGCAGGATTTTGATAATATCCCTCAGGAATTTTATTTTTCCTACAGGAACTTTATTTTTCCTATGGGAATTTTTTGTTCAAAGGTGATTTTCTCACCTGACAGGTGAGATTTACCTGTAACAAAGGTAGTTATGAACTCTGTGAGTGATGGTCTACCACTTGGTATACATGATTTTCATGTGAAGTGAGGATTTGGCGGGCGCCAAAATGCCACTTTGGAAGTGGCATAATTATCCGGCACAGTGTTTCGGTATAAGGGAAACTGCCCAATTACATATGCATCTTATGACCGCCACCCAATTCCCAACTTAAATGCTATGATTTTTGTTAAAAATAGACACCCCCACCCCCTATAATTTTTTTAAAGAAATAAAGAGAGCTGAAAAACAATTTAATACCTTTTATTAAATTTTACTACCCCAAATTGGGTATCAATGTTATGCACCTCCACCAACCAAGGCGCGTTGCATTTTGCAAAAAAAAAATTGGATCAACAACAACACTCCACTCATTATTTTGTCAAAAGTAAAGAAGTTGATCCTAATGTTGCGGATTTGAATCCCTTTGTGGGACGTGAAGACTGATCCTTCGAATGAGACCGTGTAAACCAAGGGCCAATGTCCCAATAGATGCTGGTACAAAAGGATCTCGCACTGCTCAATGGCCGTCAGTGCATATTATGAGAAAAAATGGGCAGCTCTCACGGACAAGCCTTCATATGAGCAAAATATTCATGAGAGGGACATTAAAGAAGATACTTTGTACTATCAATTTTTGACATGTTTAATGTCCCTCTAGAGAATTTGTCTCTCATGAGATATTACCATTACCAGAGATGTTCCTGCCGCGAGGGGATGCTCCGCTTAGCGGTGCCCTTGTTTAAGATGGAGCTTGATTCATTTCATTATCATTTTTAATTTTTGCCATTTATTTATGAACAAGTATTTAATAATTTATTTTATCTTATTCATTTTAAAAAAAAGAAATACAGAATATTGTCTCTACATTTCATTTATATCATTTTGATATATCTTTACAGCAATCTTCTCGAGATCAGTGAGGATATTTTTAATATATCTGACACACAACTGGCAGTGATATTTCCAAACAAGCACTTAAGGAGGGGGTAAGGATTAGAGGCATTAAAAGGAAATGGGAAGTGATGACAATGTAAGCAACTTTGAATTAATAATACAGCTCAATGCACCTTTTAAGCTCACATGGGATTTAGCATTGTTATCAAGTGAAATTGTGTAAGAAGTAACAAAAATATTTTTAAAGGATTGTTAATTCACTTATAAGTTTATTTCACTGACTTAAAACTTAATCCACACATAATTTTTGTAGGATTTTAATACAATTGGTGATAGTTCCCAAACGGTTTGTCGTGGTTTCTCGTCACATGTAGCTGCTTTATGGCATGTATCCGATTTTTATCAACACCGGAAACTTCCGTAAGGCGCTACCTTTCGACAATGGAAACTTCAACAAAGCTAGTACCTATAATTTGTTTTTAACACATATAAAAACATTTAATTAAAAAGAAAGTGTCTGTTAATAATTATTTTAAACAATTTCAGAGATTTTACAATTCATAATGAAGGAACCTTGGACACTCCAGTGGTAGAAGGAACCTTGGACACTCCAGTGGTAGAAGGAACCTTGGACACTCCAGTGGTAGAAGGAAGCTTGGACACTCAGGTGGTAGAAGGAACCATTGACACTTCGGTGGTAAAAGGGACCTTGGACACTCCAGTGGTAGAAGGAACCTTGGACACTCCAGTGGTAGAAGGAACCTTGGACACTCCAGTGGTAGAAGGAACCTTGGACACTCCAGTGGTAGAAGGAACCTTGGACACTCCAGTGGTAGAAGGAACCTTGGACACTCCAGTGGAAGAAGGAACCTTGGACACTCAGGTGGTAAAAGGAACCTTGGACACTCCAGTGGTAGAAGGAACCTTGGACACTCCAGTGGTAGATGAAACCTTAAATACTCAGGTAGTAGAGGGAACCATGGACACTTCGGTGGTAAAAGGAAGCTTGGACACTCCAGTGGTAAAAGGAACCTTGGACACTCCAGTGGTAGAAGGAACCTTGGACACTCAGGTGGTAGAAGGAACCTTGGACACTCAGGTGGTAGAAGGAACCATTGACACTCCAGTGGTAAAAGGGACCTTGGACACTCCAGTGGTAGAAGGAACCTTGGACACTCCAGTGGTAGAAGGAACCTTGGACACTCCAGTGGTAGAAGGAACCTTGGACACTCAGGTGGTAGAAGGAACCTTGGACACTTAGGTGGTAGAAGGAACCATTGACACTCCAGTGGTAAAAGGGACCTTGGACACTCCAGTGGTAGAAGGAACCTTGGACACTCCAGTGGTAGAAGGAACCTTGGACACTCAGGTGGTAGAAGGAACCATTGACACTCCAGTGGTAAAAGGGACCTTGGACACTCCAGTGGTAGAAGAAACCTTGGACACTCCAGTGGTAGAAGGAACCTTGGACACTCCAGTGGTAGAAGGAACCTTGGACACTCAGGTGGTAGAAGGAACCATTGACACTCCAGTGGTAAAAGGGACCTTGGACACTCCAGTGGTAGAAGGAACCTTGGACACTCCAGTGGTAGAAGGAACCTTGGACACTCCAGTGGTAGAAGGAACCTTGGACACTCAGGTGGTAGAAGGAACCATTGACACTCCAGTGGTAAAAGGGACCTTGGACACTCCAGTGGTAGAAGGAACCTTGGACACTCCAGTGGTAGAAGGAACCTTGGACACTCCAGTGGTAGAAGGAACCTTGGACACTCAGGTGGTAGAAGGAACCATTGACACTTCGGTGGTAAAAGGAAGCTTGGACACTCCAGTGGTAAAAGGAACCTTGGACACTCCAGTGGTAGAAGGAACCTTGGACACTCAGGTGGTAGAAGGAACCTTGGACACTTAGGTGGAAGAAGGAACCTTGGGTACTGAAGTGGTAGAAGGAACCTTGGACACTCCAATGGTAGAAGGAACTTTGGACACTCAGGTGGTAAAAGAAACCTTAGACACCCAGGTGGTAGAAGGAACCTTGGACACTCCAGTGGTAGAAGGAACCTTAGACACTCAGATGGTAGAAGGAACCTTGGATACTTAGGTGGTAGAAGGAACCTTGGACACTCAGGTGGTAGAAGGAACATTGGACACTCAGGTGGCAGAAGGAACCTTTGACACTCGGGTGGTAGATGGAACCTTGGACACTCGGGTGGTAGAAAGAACTGTAACGTTTTCGGGTTCTTTTATGGGACTCGGTTGTTCTATCTGAATAATTTAAGAATAATCAAATTTTCCAATCACAATTTAAATTAGAACCGAAGGGTACAAAGAGACAGGAAGACAGCAAATCCAACAACCGAAAAACGAAAGAATATTGACCGTGGACACTTGGGCCTTGTGACCAGATAACAATTCCCAGACAAAAAAAAGTTCTCATCTCAATTTATATCCAGAATTTTTTTTTATTTCTAAGCGTTGAGCAAAATTGCTGACCATAAAAAATTCTCATTTTTTTTTCAAGTCATAAAATTTTTAAGTTGGATTCTAAGCATTATTAAGTCTTGAGAAATGTTCAAGAAAACTCAACATGGCAGCTCTGCATAGACGTCTGCGACGCAATCGTCGTTATGCAAGGTCACTTCCCGCTCCACGGGATTTTAGAGATAATATTTTTAAGATAGGACGAAATATGGTTTGATTTAGAACGCGAGACTACCAGGAATATTGCATGTCTTCGATTTTCTCTCTTTCTTGCTTTGAGTTCGAGTTTTGGCCACTTGTGCCTCACAGCTGCTGATAGGAGACAGTGCATCTCCAAGACTGCTGCCGGGAGGGAAATTCGGGCCGTGACTTCCCTCATTATCCGACCCTTCAGGCAAGTTATCGTCTTTCCTGTCTGTGAAATGGCACATAAAGTTATGGAAGAATTCTGAAATATTGCAGGTACTCGTTTTTTCAGCGGTTACTGTGTCATGCCTCAAGATTCGAAATCATGAACATCAATTGATCATGAATCCCGTGGGGATCCGGGTTAGAATAGTTCCTCAGTATCTCCTTGCTTGTCGTAAAGGGCGACTAAACGGGGCGCTCTATCGGATGAGACCGTATAAACCGAGGCCCTGTGTCACAGCAGGTGTGGCACGATAAAGATCCCTCCCTGCTCAATGGCCCTGAGTGCCGAGCATAGGCCCAAATTTGCAGTCCTTCACCGGCAATGGTGACGTCTCCATATCAGTGAAATATTCTGGAGAGGGACGTTAAACAGTATACAATCAAATGATCAAGAATAATTTACGCATTCAACAAGTTCGATGGTTGCTTACATCACTGATAAAAAATGCGGTAAAAGCGCCACCTTTAAATTTATTACCGGCCGCCAGGAGGCGGTCGGTTATATGATATGAAAGTTTTAAGTCGCTGTGCGTTTCTGCGGAGTTAACAATTTAAATAAAAATATTCAACATTCAGTATATTCATATCGCTGGCGAGTCAATATTAAACAAAGATTGTCTAAATGTTTAGAAAAAGCACAATAATCGTAAAATTAAATTTTATAAATAATGGGGTAAATATTTTATCCAATCCTGATTGACAAACTATTATATAACTGAAGTGCGGAGAAAATTGGTACGAGTGTTAGGCATAGTCTAAAACAAAGACCGCGTTGTAAATCAACAATTTTACTTTCTCTTTTTAAAACAGGATCTGCTGTATTTATTTGAAATGAAGTGTATATTTAAACATTTCCTATAGATGTTTTTCAAAAATATGATGAAATATTGATTTCTTAAAAGCAAAGAATATTACGACATGTTCGTCCAGGAGACTAGGATAGAGCGCGTTTTACAATGTGCCAAACACTTTCCCGCCACATCTCAACACCAAAAGAGAAGTAATGTAGTGGTGGATCTAGAAGGAGTTGGGGGGGGGGGGTTAACATCCTCTAAGAGAGAGCGAGGAGCCCCACATATTATATATTTGTTGCGTTTTTATTAAGGTAAAACTATATTTAAGTTTAAGGTTAAACTTTAGTTTTGTACGTTTTATGTAAAAACTACTTAAACAGCAAACTCACAAGAATTCGTTAAATTGTACCAAACTGAGTGCAGAGGACAATGCACAGTTCATATTGCCTATACATGTACATGTAATATTGTACATGCATTATTCAAGAAGAAAATCGGCATTATCCATGCATTTTTTTTTTCGTGTCACTAGGATATTTTAACAGAAAAATATAAGAAATTTAAAAAAACCCAGCAAATTTCATTTTCTAAAATAATTTCAACAGTTATATAAATTGGTTTGCGGCCAATTTTTGACGCTTGCGTCAATATGTTTCTTGTTTATCTATCATGTAGTTTACTATCAAATAGAGAATATTACATGCACAAGAAACATAATGAAAAAAAATACACTTCCTAGTGTATTGTTATGTAATAAATAACTCTGACATCAATTAATTCATTATTAATAACATTCATTTTATGTTCGCTTAATCTGGTTGGTTGTGGGGCATGAGGCCTTATCCGGGGAGTTTCGTGTTTTTTAAATATATTTTTTTGACAGGAAACAAATCAAATAAGAAGAAAGTTGTATATGAAAAGTAGAGTAAAATATTTTGATTTGGGCTAATTTTCCATGGTCGGTCAGCTAAGGGCAAACAAACAGAATTTGATTTAGGCCTGAGCATTTCAATTCCAGCAACCATTACCTTCAACCCATTACCCAACACAAACTCAGAGAACTTTGTAACAACCATTCGGAGCATATGTCAAATACTTCATAAAAATTAATCAATTATTAATTAAAAACACTTTATCAAGGTATGACTGGTCTTAAAGATGTTTACAAAATATGGATGGCCATTTGTAACTTTGTAACTGGTTAATCGATTAATCGGTCAGAATGATAGAAAGCCATCGATAATTTTTCTGTTATTGTTTGAAATCTTTTATAAAGTTAGATTATAAATTGCAGTGTGTATATTAACTGGCATACGTTATTATATGATTGAATAATTTACCTATTTCTGATTGGCTGAGATCCAACAATGTTAAAAAACAAAATATGTTATACCGACCTGCACGTGACTTCAGGTCAATGTAAGGACTTATTGCAGATCAATATAATGAATAAATTAGGTCAATAGAAGGAATTACTGCAGGTCACTATTATACAATTGTTGCTTTTTTTTAGGTCACCAGAGTAACTCAGGTGATCTATTGCTATCTGTTGTCGTCCGTCGTGTTTTAACATTTTTCAACTTCTTCTCAGAAACTACTTGACCGTGTTTGCTCTGCTCTTATTTTGTATATTTGTTTAATGGACGTTGAGATTGAATACGGTTCGTTATTTCCATATCCATCTTACCGTATAAAGCGAGGCCCCGTGTCGTAGTAGGTGCAGCACGAAAAAGATCCCTCACTGCTCAAAGGCCCTGGGTGCCAAGCAAAGGACAAAATTTGAAGCCCTCCACCGGCTATTGGTGGCGTCTCCATACGAGTGTAAAATTCTCCGGTTGGACGTTAAACAATACACAATCAATCAATCTTTAACCCTGGACATCAAGCAGGCAAACTGGTGAGCATTGAGTCCTCTACCAAAATTGTGAAATTCATGGCCCAGTGTCAGAGGTTCTAGTGCTAGGGCGGGGCTACATAGATTATATAGTGAAAATGCATTATTGCTCCTGGGTATTTAATAAACTATCTGTCACAGCCTTATCTTGGTATTGTGAAAATCACACAAATACGGCTGCTGGGTTCGATTCTATATTTAATTATATATTTACGCAATAACAGAAAGAGAGTGACCTGAATATAATATAAAATGTATTTAATATTCATCATCTCACTCTCACTTTTACGCGAATCAGTTAAACTTATTAATTTAAATAATTTAGAAACTCACATCAGTCAAATAATATGAATAAATAAATATTGAATAATAATTGAATGCTAAGAAATAATTATAGAATTATTTCTTACCGTAATTGTACACTCAATTTGCCAGATATCGTTAGATGATGTTGGGGAGGAAAAGCGTCTTCTCTCCCCTGGGTCTGAGGTTGGAGTAATCGAGAAGTTAGTATTGGCGCCAATACCTGTTTGATCAATCACACACTTGTTATACTCTCACTGACCACTCGCCCGTATAAATGAATGAATGAACAAGGCAGTGAATTAACATAGTAAATTCCGTAGTGACAACGTAATTCAGTAGATACAATAAAACTATAATGCCTTAAAAAAGATATAAAAAATGAAATAAATGATAATTAGTAATATTAATTAATTAATTATAATTTACCCTGTGACATATCTTCTAAGTACATAGTGATGTTAAGTAAGAGTGCCTCTTCCAAAATTGTGAATTTTATGGCCCCAAGATCAGGGTATGGCGGAGTTCTATTAATTATATGGTGAAAATGCATTTATTTTCTGAAAATTTTCTTCTTTCAAGATAAGAACCAGACAATGATGTCACAGGGACGTCTGGGATCCTGATCATCGAATTAGGGTTTTCCTAACCGGGGGTCCTACACACTCAATCCAATCCGATAGTTCAGATATCGGGCTTGAGAACCAAATTGTTGAATACTGTAACACTAACAGCAATCGCGACTGTGTTCTCCAAATCAGCCTCCTGTATTGGCAAGTCAGATATTTTGATACAATTCCGCATGTTAACTGTTCCATTTCGTCCATTCTTACAGACACATGGACGGGCGACACCTTACTATAACATATGTGAATATACATAACATACTATAAGGTCTCTGACAAGTAGAGCAGCTCAGCTAACGAGGACCTGCACTGCCGGGTATGTTTAAACGAATAGTTTTATGTCCGAGTGACATCACACCTTTGTGAATACAAAAATTAATTCATTCTTTAACTACTCTTAAAAGCTAACTCTTTGAAAAAAAAGAACACAGATAGCCGAGGAACAAACAGCGTAATGAATGACCCGAGACATGACTTTGCATCCTTGCCTCAGCCTATTATTCTGTGTACCTTGAGGTTGGCTTAACATTGTTATTAGGCCTGAGTATCGCCAGCTACCTCGCGATATGATACGTATCATGATACACAAGTG